TGGAATTTTGACAAGTTCCATTTTGTCGTAATACGATACTTTTTGTACTTTTTGATCGTAAGTTATATTTGATAGATCGATTTTTGAGAAATAAAGAAATATAATAAATAAAAGAATTTCTTCTTACAAATTTATTGACTTATTAACTTATCCAATAAAGAAATCTTTATCTTAACTTTCGTTTTTTACCGCATTATTAACCGTTCGTTCTAGCCATCTTCAAAAAGATGAATATATTTGACGTGTTTTGTAGGTAAAAATGACAGGTAAAAATAACTGTAAGTTGTCGTATAAAATAAATTAATGATGATATAAAAAAAAGGAGAAAAAATATACGAAATAAAAATTCGTATAAAAATAGTAAAAGGAAAATACAAGTAGTAAATTTATTATACAAGAAAATCGTGTCTTAAAATAACCACAAAAATAACTACTGACTGCATAAACATAACTATATATATATACACAACGCTTAAACTTATGATTTATTAGCTATGCTAATGATTATGATAAAATCGTGAAAATTAGGAATGTAACTGAACTTTTGAGATAGTCAAAAGTATTACGTTTTAAATGTTAGAAAGATCGTTCTAAGAATTACAGGAAAGTATTCAGTAAGTAATAAAAATCAACTGCATGAGTGCATCGGAATGTACGTTTGAGTATCCTTTTTTTTTTCCTTTTTTTTTTTTTTTTTATACACAACCTGTTTGTATAAAATAATTTTCTTACGTAAGCTAATCGCTTTTTATCTCTGCTATTTTTATTTTAAATTCGATTCGTCCGCTGTCGCCCAAATTTTTTCCCCCCCCAATTATAATTTAATTTTTATTTTAAACATTTTTGCACGCAGTTTGCATGTAAACTCACCGCTGTTGTTTTGGATTGTTTGTTGCATCCTAGGTCCAGGCGAATGTCCCAGGATATCACCCATTCGAGATCCACTGAGAATCTCACAGTACCATATTTCAGGTACGTACAAATTCGAAATTCTACAAAACCAAATTCCCTCTATTTCGAATGGCTGTGCGACGAATTGCAAGCATCGCGTATGTACACATACACATATATATATATATTTTTAATCTCCATTTATATATATATATTTTTTTTTAATTCGTGAACAAGCATTTTTTCCTTCTTTATTGTTTTTTTTATTATTCCAGACTGTTAAAAAATTCTGCACTATTTGTTCAAGTAATGGATCAGCAAAAATTTCTTTTTCTCTTTTAATAATTATTTTTTTAAAATACTTTGTTAACGAATTTTTGAATCTTTGAATATATGTATACATCTCATTATTGCAATTTAAAAAAGAAAACGTGGTTAATTAATTTTCTTTTTTTCCAACAAAATTTCATTCATCGGATTAAGGATTAAAAATCCACGAACACGACGCAAGTTCAAGTAGTGGCACGGTTTAACAGATTTTACTTGTTGCAACATCAGATAACCCGTTCGCGCCCCGTGCTCCTCCACTCGTGAAATTTGTTCCTTTTTTTTCCCTCCTCATGACCAGTAATTTCATTCACGAAAGCTCCATTGTTGCTTGCTATCTTCGCCGGCCGTTCGTCTCGTGGATTCATCCATCTTGTAGGATCCGTTTATACGACGCATGGTTCGTTGCATCGTGAAATTGCATTGTGCCCCGCTTCACTGGCTCTGCTTTTGCAAATAAAACAAAGAAAAAGAGAAGGGGGTGGGGAGGGAAGGGGAGAGCAACGAATAATCGAGATTTTACTTGGAAAGAAACGCTTACACGTAATGGAATAATTAAAAAAAAAAAGTCGAATCATAGTTGCTTAAAAAAAAAAAAAAGAAGAAAAGTAAAATTATTATTTGTGAGAATTTCATTTCTGATTATTTTTATAATTCTTCCAAAGAGATTTTAATTTTTTTCGATATATATATACTTTTCAAAATTTGATTATGCAATGAAATAGAGATAAATATATTCAAGTAAATATTTTATCAGATCTAAAAATCTTGAATAGTAAAAAAAAAAAAAATTAATCATGATTCAGATTAATTTAACCACGCGAAGGATTAATTTTGAAATAATAACAAAATTGGCAAAAGATGGGATATAGTTATAATTATTTTCGAGCGCAAATTTATCATTCTAATCTTAATTTATTCTTTTGTAGGAGCAAGAGTCGTAGCGTGGATCATGGATTCGCGACGCCTTTCGATTGGGATTCGTCGAAGAACAAAGTCGATCAAGGACGGTTCGAGTCGGTCGACGAGTTCGCAAAGGGTGAGTAACTTCTTTCATTAGAATTCTGGAAATATAAATACGCATAAATATCTAGAAAATTAAAACTTGAATAAATTGATATCAAATGTCAATAATATCCAATAGTATCGAGTATTAAATCAATTAAACCAAATTGAAATGTAATGGAAGGATTAAAGATGAAACAAATGATACGAAAATAAGATCGAATGGACGGTTAAGTGATTGAGAGATTAATAAAAGCAAAATGTGGAAAAATAGGGAAGATTTACACTCGGTTATCTCGAAAACGAAAACTCGGTATTTTCATTTCATTTCGCGTTTATGCACCGCGTAATCGCTTGAATTATCTCCAACGATTAATCTTCGAGTAAACTTTCTTAATCTAAATTCTAATTCATGCAACACACCTGAAATCCTATGTACACTCTGGTTTATAAATATATGGATTCTACTTCTTAACCAACAATTCAAATATACAATATAAATTAGCATTATCCAATTATTCCTTGTTGTTCTATTGAAGATATGCGATCTAGTAATTTAATCGTTTTAAATTCATCAAATAATCAAATAATTTATACCACGTATCAAATATTGGAAATACGGAATCATTTATACTCGAAATTGTTCTGAAAAACATTTATGAAGATACTTTTACCAACTAAATGAAAAAAATAATTAATAATCAAGATGAACAAAAGCTATCCTAAAGAACACGTGGTGAATACGTGGGAATGTAAAAGAAACTTTAACATGTTCTTCATTATTATTATTATTACTATTAACATTAAACGACGATAAAATTAAATACGTAAAATTTAATTCAACGATTTCGTACATAACTTTCGTACAACTGTTACAATTAAGGTATCTCGTCTCGATAAAAAAAAAGAGAGAGAGAGAGAGAGAGAAAGAGAGAAAAGAACAATTTTCACTGTAAAAAAGAAAAGAAGAATGGAGTGAAAGTCGAAAGTGATCCAGTGGCCTGATAAAACGAGCGTTTGTGCTCGAGATTCATCGTGGCTGGGTAGGCCACACACGGAAGTTTCGATCGATCGGCGGAGGAAAGGCTAATCGGAACCAGGCGGCCATCGTGATCGAGAGAAGACGAAGGTCTTCTTCGATCTTGGGCGCTAAGCGTCCCGTATGCAACCTTACTCATTGCGAATTACATTGACTTACTTTTCTTAAAGTGGCACAAATGCCAGGTTTGATCGATCGTTTCGCGCGCGCGCGCGCGCCACCAAGCCTTTAATTGACATTCTTCTCGTGAGATTTATCCGCGCTTCCCGCAGATTTTTACAACGACGACACATGGTGATCACATCTTCGTTGCGAAATTTGAATCGTGAATTTTTTTGTATTGAGAATGTATTATATTTATCGTATTATGTATAGGTTTATCGTGTATTTTATATATAACTTTTTTTCATACGTATGGAAATTTTAATCTTACTTTTATTTATATAAAAAATACACTGATCAAGATTGAACGAAAAGGCGTTGGATATCTTGTTATATTTTTATATACTTTGGTTTTAGTTTTTATCTGTTGATCTTAAATTAAAATCCAATTGAATAATTTTAAATCGGATAAAAATCAAAAATTCAATTTTCTATCTGGCTGGATTTATATCACTGTGATTTTCGATTCTTCGATTGTCTCTTATCAAACTCGAAATAATTTTGCGACAATTTTTTTATTTTTTTGGTTCCATGATATATGTTTAAAAATAAGACTATTGTTATTTTGGTTCTAAATATATATATTTAATTAATATATTTTTTTAAAAATAAATTTTTATGGAAAAACTTACGAGACTTATATTCAGTATAAATATTCTCGTCGATGCTCGTTATTTTTACGGCTGACTTTCGTTCTTACATTATAATATGGTTATTTTTAACACGAGTAACTGGTAACGAGGTAAATTTGTATCGGTTATGTTACCAGCTTTCCATTACAATATTCCGCGAAGAGAATAATGAAGCTCATTTTAATCGAAACATGGAGGTTATTTAGCAGATATATTGGTCGTTGAAAATTAAAATTAAATAAATTTGAAATTTCTTGTTCTTTTTTTTCTTCTTTTTCTTTTCTTTTTTTTTTTTTTTGGAACGAGAAATCTAAGCCAACTTAACTTGATAAAAAAAAAAAAAAGGAAAGGCCAACTTTATCTTGTTAAATTAAATGATATGTTTTTTTTCATTTATATCTTTCAATATAACGATCTATAGTTAAAGGTTACTCTACGTCGATTACGATAAAATAAATTACTTCAAGAAACTACTATCATAGTTAAGAAATTACTTGATTGAATAAAAAGATAGAAATTAATTCATTTATCCTATGTTACCGGAAAACAATAATTAATGAAAAATCCTTCGAACGAATAAAAAATATTGTATAGATATTGATAGTATCTAAGCATCTAAAAATTTTGATACGTATCGAAATGTACATTCTTATTATACTTTTCTGCTGATATGATAGATTCGATATTAATTTTAGAATAAAATTAATCTCACAAATAATCATTATGATAAGAGCGATAGTAACTCCCTTCTTAACTGTATTAACGAAAAATAACAATATCTTTCCAGGTAATCTGAAATGTATTCGTACTGTAACCCCGAAAATTATAGAAATATATCAAGTCATGTATTGCGAAATATATACGATAACAAAATATCTTACATCACAATTTTCACCAGAATGATCCCAATTTTATCATTTAATCCGTATCGAGCAACGGAATAATTTATTACCCCCCGATTACGCATCGCTGAATTATTCATCCACATTGTTGAACATTATTTACGATAAGTCGCCCCCCATAATACGATAGAAAGAGAGAGAGAGAGAGAGACGCTTTTATCTCTCAATTTGCATCCGAGAGAGAGAAGAATTAAACCTCCCATTTTTCCCATTGGTTGCCGTTCGTTTGTTCGCCTCGTTAGTTTTACCAGCAAAAGTATCGATCCTGAATGGATTTAACGTGTTTAAACCCTCCATTCCGGATTTTCGAGCATCGACGAAACGCAATGTTCCGCGTCCTGTGTCGAGTCGAATGGGAAAATCTAGATCACGAGGAATTAGAGGTTAGTTTATCGATTATTATTAATCGCGTATCGAGTCCTCGACGCAACGTGCGTTTAATAATGGTGGCCGGTTCGGTTCATTAAAGCGAGACAGTTTAATCACTTTCTTGTTAAGTTTAATAAGCGATATCGGCCGTGTCATCACGTTTTTTATAATTGTAATATAATATTTTTTTTAATTTTTCTAATTCTCGAAAAAATTAAAACGTTTCGTTAAATTTAACGAAAAATTCGTTCGTATTATTATTTATGATTCGAAATAAATGAAATTAAATAAATTAGATAACAAATTATTTGCATTGATAAAATTGGATTACATATATATCCGAATATATTAAGTCAAAGTTATTCATTTTTCGTCGTAATTGATCTTGTCGAATTCCTGATTGAATCTATCTTCTTCAATCTTTAAAGTCTATTCGAAACTCCATAAATCTGTCAAAAACATCTCTTTCGTTATTCCAATATTTTTTATTTTCCAATAATAAGGATATAAACCTGAGATAGAATTATGACTATCGATTATTGGCACATTATGTTATTAACACATCTTTACTCTAGTTATCTAATTAATTGTCAAATGAAAAAAATTTTTTTACAAACATGTTATCATACATACACACGTCAATTATATTCGTGCACCAATCATCGAAACGATATCCGAGAACGAACTCGAGCCGACGAACGAATGAATGAAAATTCGAAACGAAGCGCATTCGTGATTAACTTTCTCGTAAATCGTTTCGTTAAATCGCCGCGATACGCGGCTCTTAATTCTTCGAAAGAATGGTTGCAAGCAACCATGTTGTAGGCGAGTGATGCAATATCGTTCGAGAGATTACGCGAAAAATTTAAATCCTCCCGTTGCACAAGGGTCGTGGAAGGTGGGACACAGTTTATTAAACGGGAGAATCCGCGTTGGGATTAACCCAAACACACCGCGCACACTTTAATGGGCAGTGTGGATTTGCCGACAATGACAATGAATTCTCGTCCGCTCGCTTGGAAATTTATCTAATTACTCGGGTTAGTGGCGGCCATTCCGCGAGATCGTGCGACGACCGAGGAAAATCTCGTTTCGATATCGTTTCCAAAACGCTTGGCGCATACTCTCGATTAAACCAGTTGAAATTTTGAGAGATGGAAGGGAGAGGAAGAATATAAAATTCTGAATATAAAATTTCGGTGTAGCCTCTTGAAACGAGCTGAAATTTTGAAGGGTGGACGGAGAAGGCGGCTCGAATATAAAATTTGGATGTAGCGCGCCCTTTGCCCAAACGAGCTGAAATTTTGAGGGGTGGACAGAGAAGAATGTAAAATTGAAGTGTAATGTAACCCTTTTGCTCAAACGAGTTGAAATTTTGAGGAAGGGAATATAAAATATTAGCTTCGATTTCTTTATCTCAATTTTTGAAAAAAAAAACTTTGATAGAATATATCGATTGAATTCTACTTGGCAATGTATATCAGTACGGTTTATCTACTGTTTATCTATAAATATCGGAGTAGGTGATGTTCAAAATATATAACGGGTGGGTCAATCAAAAATCTACTTCTTTATGGTTCGTTGGTAGCTCTAGTATTAAACAGTGAAAATGTTTTTGATGTAATGATAGGGTTATGTTTGATATTTATAAGTAAAAGAGTATAATAGTTAAAAAATAATTATATGCATTATTTTGCCGTTTGATCTTTAATGGATGAATTTGAGTTCGATTTGATGAGAATTAACTTTTGACCTCTGATAATATTGAAATAAATTAACCCTCTGATGGATCCTTATACGTATCTTAATAAATAAAATTGAATTTGAAACAGAGTCGTGTTTTTTCTTTGAAAGCAAATAAATATGATAATTTTCGAGATTCGAGATTTTATAATTTAATAAATTTTATCGATCGTGGTTTAAATTCGAA